CACAGACAGCCTCTTCCCAATATGCGTTTTTGCAATTTACATATATGCAAAAACGCATAAAAACGCTTGACGTAAATGTTAACTGAAAGAACACTAAATGCCATAGTCAAAGAACCAGGCAAATTAGATACAAACGAATCGCGAAATATTCAAAGCAAACCGCAAACTGAAGCAAAAGGTGCAAATAGAATTGTGCATTGATCAAAACTTCATAAGGGAACGTGGGAACCAACAGAGACTTACGGAGAACAGAATTTGGAAGGAACCGTGGAGAAAAATCGTTGCTGTGCTGTCCGTAATAGGAAAAGAAGGTAACCTTCCAAGAGGCAACTGATCATGAGTTCGCTATTAGGGATGCGCGATGAACCACCTTAAAAAAGGAGAAAAAAAAGAAACGGTGAAACCGAGCGGCATAGTGATGCAAAACAATCGAAGTAGATTATATCAAGAATGTTTGGAAACAGCAATGAGCTGTAGTTACAGCGTGCCAGGGCGAATCGGCAGTGTAGCAGTACAAAACTTGCATCGCACTGAATATTGCGTAAAAAATATATCAACATGGAGCACACAAGTACTAGAAATATCTCGAACGCGATGATGGGGATAACGGGGAAGTTCGAATTGGAAGGCCCCAAGTAACAATTATTAACGTAGCAGCAGGGAGGGAGGGCCTATGAAAGACAGTAGGAAACACTACGATTTAAACCACCACCAAAACAAAGAACCAACAGAAATATTCCAGAAAACAGAATCGTAAAAACATTTCCGAACCACCAATGTGCAGGATCGCCGAAAACCAGGGACGAAGGTCAATGGGGAAGAACAAGCAGACGCCCGTAGAAGTAACGAAGCCACCGTGGTGATCATGAGTAAATCAAAGCACTTTGCAGGGGAGGTGGGGGGAGGGGGGAATGAACCAGAAAAAATGATCAGTGGAAAGTTCTAGAATCAAAACTGCTGAAGGAAAAGAGAAACATGGCCGTTCCAGGGGCAAGGTGATGTCGACGAGCACGTTAAGGCACCCTATGGAAGAGAGGAAATGCCAGGAAACGCAGCGGTAGAGCAGTCCGTTGTTACAAATTTACATTATGCGGCGGGGAAATACGAAAACATTTTGGGTTACGGCAGTTGCAGGCTGAGAAAAGTGTTGTCACTTTCCGGGCACTTGCGGCACAGCATCGGTATTGAGCATCGTATGTAGTGTGGGATCTGTGTATGCGAACCACTGGGAATCTCCACGTGGTCCAATCTCCTGATTCGGTTTTCGGTAGAGTATGCGACGACGTACCTCTTGGAATGCAATTGCAGCGCAAGCGCGGTAGCGTCCTGAGACTCCCTGTTCTGAAATTC